ATCTTGTGTAGAGCCTGAAGGGAGGAGCTCAAGCTGCAGAGTTTTTTTTTCCTCTGAACCTTACATGATTTGCTGCAGACTGGTGAGCCAAAATCCAGACATTTCAGAGTCAAGGTTTCAGGTCAGAATGGTTCTGGTCTGAGAACTGGTTTTGAAATGCCTGAGTGAGAGTCATTGCTCATCCTGGATGTGCCTTGCTGTGAAAATCATTCATTTGTAAATAGAAAGGTGGGTGAGATAGAATAGACTATTTCAGTTGGAAGGGACCTAAAACGATCATCTAGTCCAACTGTCTGACCAGTTCAGTGCTGACCAAAAGTTAAACCATGTTATTAAGGGCATTATCCAATTGCCTCTTAAACACTGACAGGCTTGGGGCATCGACCACCTCTCTAGGAAGCCTGTTCCAGTTTGATCAGCCTCTCGGTGAAGAAATGCTTCCTAATGTCCAGTCCGAACCTCCTCTGACACAGCTTTGAATCATTCCCACGTGTCCTATCACTGGATACCAGGGAGCAGAGATCAGCACCTCTGTCTCCACTTCTCCTCAGGAAGCTGTAGAGAGCAATGAGATTGCCCCTCAGTCTACTTTTCTCCAAACTAGACAAGCCCATGTCAGCCTCTCGGTGAAGAAATGCTTCCTAATGTCCAGTCCGAACCTCCTCTGACACAGCTTTGAATCATTCCCACGTGTCCTATCACTGGATACCAGGGAGCAGAGATCAGCACCTCTGTCTCCACTTCTCCTCAGGAAGCTGTAGAGAGCAATGAGATTGCCCCTCAGTCTACTTTTCTCCAAACTAGACAAGCCCATGAGGTCCTTAGCTGCTCCTCATGGGACATTCCTTCCAGCCCTTTCACCAGCTTTGTTGCCCTCTTCTGGGTGCATTCAGGCACCTTAACATCTTTCTTAAATTGTGGGGCCCAGAAATTCACACAGTACTCCGGGTGAGCCCACACCAATGCTGAATACAGTGGGATAATCACCTCTCTTGACCAGCTGGTTATGCTGTGTTTGATGCACCCCAGGACGGGGTTTGCCCTCCTGGCTGCCAGGGCACACAGCTGACTCATATTGATCCTGCTGTCAACCAGCACCCCCAGATGCCTTTCTGCAGGGCTGCTCTCCCACCACTCCTTTCCCAGTTTAAACTTGTGCCTGGCATCATTCCATCCTAAGTGCAGAATCCAGCATTTGAGCTTGTTAAATTTCATCCCATTAATCATAGCCCAATGCTCCAATCTATTTAGATCCCTCTGCAAGTCGTCTTGTCCCTTAAGAGAGTCAACAGCAGCTCCCAGTTTGGTATCACCAGCAAACTTGCTAATGGTGCATTCCACTCCTGCATCCAGATTGTTGATAAATATATTGAACAGAACTGGCCCTAGATTTGAATCCTAAGGAACACTGATGATGACTGGCTGCCAGCCAGATGTAGCCCCATTCACTACAACCCTTTGAGCTCTGCCCTTCATCCAGTTCTTCAATCCAGTGCACTGTGAACCCGCACTGGAACTGAGGTTAGACTAACAGGTCTGTAGTTCCCTGGGTCTTCCGTCATGCCCCTTTGGTAGATTGGAATAACATTGACTAGGTTCCAGTCAGCACCAGCACCCCCATATGCCTTTCTGCAGGGCTGCTCTCCCACCACTCCTTTCCCAGTTTAAACTTGTGCCTGGCATCATTCCATCCTAAGTGCAGAATCCAGCATTTGAGCTTGTTAAATTTCATCCCATTAATCATAGCCCAATGCTCCAATCTATTTAGATCCCTCTGCAAGTCGTCTTGTCCCTTAAGAGAGTCAACAGCAGCTCCCAGTTTGGTATCACCAGCAAACTTGCTAATGGTGCATTCCACTCCTGCATCCAGATTGTTGATAAATATATTGAACAGAACTGGCCCTAGATTTGAATCCTAAGGAACACTGATGATGACTGGCTGCCAGCCAGATGTAGCCCCATTCACTACAACCCTTTGAGCTCTGCCCTTCATCCAGTTCTTCAATCCAGTGCACTGTGAACCCGCACTGGAACTGAGGTTAGACTAACAGGTCTGTAGTTCCCTGGGTCTTCCGTCATGCCCCTTTGGTAGATTGGAATAACATTGACTAGGTTCCAGTAAGCAGGAACCTTCCCAAACTCCCAAGACCTTTGGTAGATGATCAAGAAGGGTCCTGCCATAACATCCGCTAGCTCCTTCAGTACTCTGGGATGAATCCCAGATTGTCTCCACCACCAGTATCCCTACAAAGTTGACCTCCAGCCTCATAAACCAGCTGTGTTTTACCTTGTGTCCCTTATGTATGTGGTATTCTCAGGCTTTATTGGCTGAACCTCTAGGAGTTTTCCCTGCTTTGCCACCTTAAGCATCTAACTTGGGCATGCAACTTAAAAGTCTTCTCTCTCTGCTCCTTCTGTGTTTCCTTCTCTGGAAAGAGATAGACTCTTTTTGATGGCCAGTCAGACGAATAGCTTATCTTAGGCACTTGCAGTCATCTTCTAGAGGTACCAGAATCTCTCAGTTGTGTAGAAGCTTAGAGGACCAGGCTTGTAAATTAGGGTGCATTTCCATTGTCACTTCAAGTGGGTGGAAGTGCAGACAACTGCTAAAATGGAGCAATCCAGCTTCCTTTTATCATAGATCATAGAGCGAATTAGGTTGGAAGGAAACTTTGGAGGTCATCTCTAGTCCAACAGCTTAAAGCAGAGTTAACTTCATAGCTCAGATTGCTCAGGGCCTTAACCAGGTGAGTTTTGAAAATCTTCAAGTATGGTGGGGGGATGACACATGACCAATTCGCCTCAGCCTCTTTTCCTATGTTATATTCTTCAGCCTCCTAACCGTCTTAGTGGTTCTTTACTGGATTTCCATGTGGTTGATGTGTTTCTTGTGTTGGACACCACACTGAAGACAGTACTCCTGATGTGGCCTCATAAGAGCTGAGTAGAGAGGAACAACAATTTTCCCTGACCTGCTGGGTATGCTGTAGCTAGTACAGCCC